TCAGCAGCAACCACAAGGATTCAGTGCACAAAGCAGGCGAGTCTCACCCACTGCGCCCACAGAGCTGTGCTGGGGAGGCAGGGCCTGTGCTCAGCACCTTATTGTCATAACCAGGAAAGTGGGCCCTGGCTGAGGATTCAGTGGTTAGAGCGTCGGCCTGACACAGGTTCAATTCTGGGTCAAAGGCATGTACCTGGGCTCATGCAGGAGGCAACCAATCAATATGTCTCTCTCTTCCTCTGCCTCCCTAACTCTCTTCCACTTTCTCTAAAAAGCAATGGAAAAATATTCTTAAGTGATTAAAAATACATCAGAGATGTGGTCTTGGTGCATCACATACACACACATGTACACACACTCCTTTATTCCCATCGTGGCCCTTCTTGTCTCCATGCACACCCTCTCCCTGTGTCACCACTGAGAGGAGGGAGCTATCGCCCCTGGTCCCCTCGCCTGGTCTGAGGAAAGGCATGGCCTCCAGACCCTGAGGGCTCTTGTGGGACCTGCACCCCAGGGTGCCTCTGCCCCTGGCCCATCTGGTAAGAATCCAGGACGGGCTGTGTCTTCCAGGATGTTTGTCTCTGAGTGGCCCCGAGCACGTGATGGGCACCGTGGGGGGATCGCTGAGCGTGCAGTGTCAGTACGAGAAGGAGTTCAAGGAAAATAACAAATACTGGTGTAAAAGCCCATGTTTGGCATCGCTGAGGACGAAGATTGTGGAGACCACAAAGTCAGAGAGAGAAGTGAGGAGCGGCCGTGTGTCCATCAGGGACCATCCAGCAACCCTCACCTTCACAGTGACCTTGGAGAGCCTCACAGAGAGCGATGAAGGCACATACAGGTGTGGGATCCATAGACCATGGACAGAAGGACTGATAGACCTCACCTTCCCGGTTGAGGTGTCTGTGTCCCCAGGTGAGTCACACACACCCTCCCCTCGCCCCAGCTCCAGGCTGCCTGACCTGTACCTGGTCACCCGCTGGTCAGGACAGACATGGAATTGAAGAGCTGGGTGAAGTGGGGGTCAGTGATCAGGACACAGCGTGTGTGGGTGTTATCTGGGCACAGGTGTGTCCTCCACACACACACGCACGCACGCACGTATGCACGCAGTCTGTTCCTGACCCCTTCGGAGCCCAGGCCCTGACTGAGTCTCAGGCCTGGATGGCTCCTGAGGCATCACCCTCACAGCCGTGGTCCTGGGGGCCTGCAGCTGCCATGAGACAGGCCCAGAGGAGCCCCAGGTCCCTGTGTGGGGCCCCTGTGATGTTCTGGGGCCTCCCTTCCCTTCAGGCTGACCCTGTCCCTCCCCGTTTTTCTCTGATGCCTTGTAGCCAGAGGAGGGAACCCAGAGGAGCCCCTGAAAAAACCTCCCTCAGGAAGGAGAGGAAAGATGATCACGTGGTGCTCAGGTGCTATGGCCCCAGCTCCCTGCCTGCTCTCTGCACAATTCTCTCCACCAGGTCACTGTGTTGTTGCCTGAGAGCCCAGTGAAGATCACCTTCCTGCTGACGGTGGCTCTGGCTGCTCACTTCCTCCTTGTAGTTCTGGGTTTCTCCCTCTCACATGGGATGTTCCCTCACTGGCCTTTGTGTCTTGCTATTTAAGAGGGAGAAACTGGAAACCCCAGAACCTCTGGCTGAGGGAAGAGGAGGGGTTTGTCCCCGTGCCTTTGTGTCAGGCCATGGTCTATGGGGTCCACCTGGTGTGTGTCTCTCTAGATCAGGGGTGGGGAACGTCCGGCCCGAGGGCTGTATAAGGCCCAGGAAATCATTGGGTCTGGCCCTGCCAAGGCATTAGGGGTGAGTGAATGAAACGCTTGGCCAAACAGAACAGGCTAATGTTTAAGTTGATGATTTTGTGGGCCTTC